CTATCAGACTAACATTTTTTTTCATTCTGAGCTTACATATTTTTCCAACAAAAATTTGTTCTCAAATTTCAATGCTTCCAACTCTTTTCTAAGCTTTTCATTCTCTTCCAAAAGTGACTGCTTTTCTGCATCCATTGACATCCTAGTCTCCATCTTCTTTGGATCATTCTCCCACAAAAAGAAATTACAATTGTCACTCTACAAATTACAAAAACATAACACCAATGTCAATATCTAATACAAAAAAAGCATTTATTCATATTTTAAATTCGTATGAAGTATACCTGCCATAAAGGACAACCATAGAATTTCTTTCCCTTGTTTGACCCAAATGCCACTGTCTTCAAAGCTGAAACCATGCCATGGAGTAACAGTAGATTGTGCTTCGTTAGAATTACAATAGGTCATTTTGAAGAAGATAATTCAGACTTAGGGTTTCATGGATGAAACAAGTAAATAAGGGTAAACTTTTATGAGCAGGAAAAAATCAGGGCAAAGAATGATTGGTGAGAAGACTATGTGGTGATGTGAATATGATTACAAAATGAAACAAAAACTATGCCATGAAGAGAAGATGGAGAAAAAGATGGTAGATAAAGAAGAAAAGGGAGATCAGAGAGATGAAATGGCGTGAATGAGAAAGAAACGTAGATATCATCTCTAATAAGCGATGGGGGTAACGATAGGGATTAATATGAAACGAAACATTAGTCCCGTTTAATTCCATCTATTTACGTGAACATGCTTAAGAGTTCGGAGTATTTGTATACATTTCGTCAGTTCGGATTATTATTGTGTAACCGCTTTAAGTACATATTATTGGTGTGAATTTTCCTAAGTATAATTCAATTCCAAACAAATATAAGTAAATCGAAGATACACACGAATAAAGATTTTACCCTTTAGTGCCTTTAGCCTCTTTAGGGTATTAGGTGATTCGGGGATTTAGATCATTTGAAATGGTGTAAGATTAGGAGTCAAAATATTAAATTTGTGATTTTTGACTCTTAATTTGGTGTAATGTAAGATTAAAAGTGAGAAATGGGATGGAGTGTAAAAATAGAGGGTGAATTAACAGAATAAAAGAAAAGAAAAGATGGTCGGCTCCTACGCTTTGCTCATGCATTCGGTTGACGTCATGATGACGTCACATAAATGTATTTATAATCCCAAATTTCCAAATTGTTTTAAACTCTTACAATTTTTTTTATTTGTTTTCCAATTTTTTCAAAATTGTATCAAAATTCATGAATTTGTATGATCTTTCAGGTGACACCAATATGTAACATATAAAATGGAAAAAAAAAATCTGAAGTTTTAACTAATGAAGTTTTCTTGAACCACAAAAAAAAGACGAAACACAAAATTTTAATTCATGGAGACTTCACAATTAACTGAATATTCCATAATCGAATTTTGCTTGAACTAAGGGGCTGTTTACTTTTATTTTCATTAAGTCCTGTCTGGATTAAGACGTCTGTCTGTATTAAGAGGTCTGTCTGGATTAAGTGACACTGAGATAACAAGCTGTTTACTATGTGTGCTGAATGTATAGTCTAAATTATATTAAATTCCCAATTTACCCTTCTGTCTATTACAAGTGATGATCATTAGCAATATCATCTCATAAATTTGTCTTGTCTTTTACTTTGTGATGTTTGTTCCCCATTGCGTTCTACTACCTATCTATTTCTTCTCCAGTCTACGAATTGCAAACAGATAAAATCATAAAATGATGACAGGTTTATAAATAATAATAACACTAGCCACAAAAAAATTGCAATTATTACTTACGTTAACTACAAATGAAATCTGCCCTGGGAAAAACAATAAACAATGAATCAACAATTAACACAGTGTTTCGAAGACAAGAACTCACTGTGTATTCCAACAATAATAAAAAGAAATCATGAAAATAGATGGTGTATCAACATCCCAAGAACAAATATCTTCTGCCTTGGCATAATTCAATCATTGAGCTTTCTTTTTTCGTCTGCACTTTTCTTCTTCGTGCTGTCTTAAAGGAGAAGAGGAAGAAGTATTATGGCATATCTTAATTAAGTTGAACTTCAGAAATTTTACCAAACAATTACAATATAGTGATTTTACCAGAAATATATGGATTGTTTAGAAAGCCAGCGCCAGATCGAAGATAAGGAGAGAAAGAGAGAATAAAAATATAAAATCAGATGAAATACCTAGATGAAAAGGGTAGGTTCGAGACTTCTCTTCGTTGATTTCTTGATACAAGTTGTTGGGAGCAGTGGCATCTCGCAAGTTGCTGTGAGCCAGCGATTTTCACTGGTTTGTAGCCATTGAGAAGAAATTTTTGAAGGAGAAGGTAGGGTTAAAGATGGCAATCGTTTAACGCAAACACGTCTGAATGTGAAGGAGTGTTAAAACAGAGCTGAGCGAATAAGTGACAACATGACTGAGCGAATAAGTCTCATTAAAAATTAAGTTGTAAGTAAACACTACTATATAACTGAATGATTAAGTCACTAGTTCTATTCAGCCCATTAAGACGAAAGTAAACAGGCCCTAAGTTTACTTTTTGTCAAACTTATTTTTACATCAAAATGTGTGTTTTTTATTTCATAATTATTCAGCAAATTATTAAAAGCAAAATATTACTTATAATAATTTAACTAATGTTTTACTAAATATATACTCTGAAAAATATGCTGAATGTATTCGGGTCCGGATGCACTCAAGCATAGTCTAAATAGCGGCCCATCAATAATGCCAGGCAGCGCAGGGCCTAGACAGATTGACAGAATCGCTGAGGTACGGACGCCGGACGCCAGGACTAAGGAAGCTGGTAGTCTGGCGAGTCCGCAAGGAAGCTGGTAGACAGGCCTAACAAGTAGAAAGAAGATAAAGGAACTCCTTTTTAAATTATGAATCATTCATTCATTATTATTATTATTATTATTAATTTGTGTGAAATTGTAGGTTTTATGATGACAGAGAAACAGAATCAGGATTCCGACATTACAAAAAAACAAATTAAGAAAGAACTTGGTTATATAATCACTTAGAGTTTTTTTCCCTTTAAATAATGTTGAGAATGTCCATACAAATGTAAATAGTCACTATAAGGACACACATGTATGTGTTAAAAATAAGAGTGCACATAATATCTATGTATTTTCCGTCCCCAAATTACACGGCACATCTTGCTATATCGTGCTCACGGTACATCCAAACTTTTTTCGTTCTGCTTCGCACCTACCACCTCATTATCTTCCCGTCTTTTGGTTCTGTACTTCTGTGAGCAGCGATTTTCCCCTGCGGTCTCATCTCTTCTTTTGGAGTCCCGTAGCTCAGGAATTCTGCTAAGCTCAACTCCTTGATTTTTTCCTCCACTATCCCATCCTGAAATCAATTTCTATCACAATCTTAATTACGTACACCACAACTCAATTTAATTACATTATAGCGATGTACTCCGGCACTGACGACCTCCAGGCTCTAGCCACAAGCTTCAACTGGGAGCTGAGATGGTGATTTCCGGGGAGTCATCTACGGCCGTGGTCGGAGATTTCATTGTAGACGTAGTTTTACTGATTTGAGCATACACAAATGAAAAGTTGAGCTTATTGATTTGAACATACACAAATGAAAAATTGAGCATAGTAGAGATTGAAAAATAAGTTTTTGAATTTTTCGATGCTCATTTCATAATTTAAGTATGTTCATTTGAAATTGGTATAATAATCATTTTAGCATATATAGTAGATGTCTTAAATGAGTTTTTTTTTTAAATTTTATGTTCATTTCGTAATTTGTGTATACTCATTTAATATTGTTGTAATACTCATTTTAAAATTTCATATTCATGCATGTTTCAAAAGTATAATATTACATTAAATTTATACGGAGTATGTTGGATTCTTGCAGCTTTTGAAAATCACAGTTTTGATCCCCCAATTAGCCACCGTATTGAAATCTCAGCCCCGTGTTTTTCATTTTTTAAATGTCACCCCCGCTTTGTCAGGATTGTTTTAAATGTCACACATGTCGTTAAAAATCTTACAAACTCCATGTGGCTTTCCATTTTTCGGGGGAAAACATATAACTTCGCATCCTTATACGTTTAAATACCTAAATCGACTTATCGTCAACCCTTTATCACGCTTATAAGTCCAAATTGAATGTTTTGCTAATTCCTTTGCTTCGAGCTCTTTTCCGCCAATTTTCCGTTGGACATGGCGTTCGAATATTGAAGCTATATTAAATCCAAGATTTCCGTTTGAAGGTCGAAGCTGAAGACAAAGAACCCTAAATCATATGGAAATGGTGGCACCTCTTGAAAAATCCAAACGACTGAAGAACGAATGAAGGGAAGAGAGCTTCCCAAACAAATGGCATGTACCTCACTTGACTTATACAAAGAAAGTTTGGTTTAAACTCGATTTAGGGATCTAAACGTATATGGATGTGAAGTTACATGTTTACCCCTGAAAGGATGGAAAACAACACGGAGTTTGTGAATTTTTTGACGACAAGGGTGACATTTAAAACAATTCTGACAAATCGGGGGCGACATTTAAAAATGCAGAAATACAGGTCTAGGATTTTAATATGGTGACTAACTGGAGGACCAAAATTGTGATTTTCCCTTTAAAAAAAATAAGAAAATCAAAGTGAATTATAAAATATGAAGTCAGTATTACAATGCTCATTATTACACTCTAAATACTCAGTAAAATAAGTCTATTGCTCATTTATGATGTTTTTACTTGGACTGTAATTTGCTGGTCTAGTTTGATCTGATCTGATTTCTTTGTATTTTTATAACTATCCAAGTCTGGACTGATCTGGGACATATTACCGTCCAAGTAAAAATATCCTTAATTTAACACAAGTAAAAACATCCTTAAAAGTATGTTAAAGCTCATTTAACACAAATCGCAGCTTTCACTTAATTTACAAAAATATAAGTCAATATTACAAAAATCGCAGCTCATTTAAGGCTTCCTTTTCCGTCAATTTTGGGATGATTTACTTCTATTTACTTCATTCTCCATCCATATTGTAGTTTGGGTGTCTGGGGCCTCAAAAGTGTTGTAGCCGGCCCTGCCTGCTGTTACCACTCCATTGATAACGCTTGATTGCTTCAAACCAAGAAAGTTCCTTTAATTACTCTACTCAACGCTTGAAAATAACAATGGAGAAGAAGGGTATCTCACAGGACGTTTCAAGTAAAGAGCAAGAAGAAGATCAGATTGTGAACCCATGGGAAGTGTCAGCCAAGGACGGCAGCAAAATTGACTACGACAAGTTGATTGACAAATTCGGCTGCCAACGGCTTGACCAGTCCCTCATTGATCGCGTGGAGAGGCTTACTGGCCGTCCGGCGCATGTCTTCCTTCGCCGCGGCGTCTTTTTTGCCCATCGTGACTTCAGTGAGATTCTGGACGCTTACGAAAGAGGGGACAAGTTCTACTTGTACACTGGACGCGGACCTTCTTCAGAGTCCTTGCATTTGGGTCATCTCATTCCATTCATGTTCACCAAGTATGCATTTTTGTAAAAGTTTCTTTAAGGTATATATTTAGCAATTTGGTTTCAATTTTTCCAATTAAATTCTCGGCTGTGAAGGTACTTGCAGGATGCGTTTAAGGTGCCACTTGTAATTCAGTTAACAGATGACGAGAAGTGTATGTGGAAGAATCTGACGGTCGAGGAAAGCCAAAGGCTGGCCCGGGAGAATGCAAAGGACATCATTGCTTGTGGTTTTGACATTTCCAAGACATTTATCTTTTCTGATTTCGATTATGTAGGAGGGCAAGTAACTCCAACCCCTATGGTTTTCATAATTTAGGAAGTGGTTATTCATTTTTTGTCTTCTTATTTTTTAAGTGGTAATTGATATGCATGCTGTGTAAGGTTATTATGATTTTGTGATTCATGCAAGCCTACAATGTTAGAGTGTAAGACTGAGTGTTGCTTTTATTTACCCAATAATGATACTTTCTGGGGAATTGAATTGTGAGCCACTGATATTAGTGGATGTAGGCGGCTATGCCTACTAATTTGAGGGCAATGTGCATACTGTGAGTGGTTGGAGTAAGATGCATTTTATGTATTTTTTCGTTAAAATTGACAAGAATTTTTGGTGCAGTGCATTTTACAAGAACATGGTGAGGGTTGCAAAGTGCGTCACATACAATAAGGTCAATATGTCAAATTTTACAGAGATTGGATGCTCTGCAATGGTTTCCAACTGTACATCTTCTATATCTTGATGTTGATTATAACTAGCTATGACCTTTTATTGCTGGCGCAGGTTGTTGGTATTTTTGGTTTTACTGGCGAAGACCATATCGGAAAAGTCAGTTTCCCGCCAATTCAGGTAGAAACATAAAGACATATAAACTGATGTTTAAAAAGTGTTTAATTGTTTGTTCCAAAACTGAAAGAATTTATTGCATACTGTCTTGTTAAATGTTTTCCTACACCATCTATGCATTCCCTCCTCGCCTTGGTTCCTCCTAAACCCATGTAAGGGAGGAGCCAAGGAGGGAAGCGGAACTGTTTTTCACTTTTTTGCTATCTATCCGAGCTGATTATTTGAATCTGTTAAATAAGTCTGGCACAGCAAATGTTTAATGCCATCTGTAATTCTGTATTGAATAATGATACAGGAGAAGGAAGGAGTGTAGTCAATGCTATAAGTATTTTCTATTCAATTATAATACCTTTCTTTTTGTTTATAGTTCTCTTTCTATATCATTTGAAATCTGATATAGTTTTGAGGCTCCAAATCATGATGTGGATCTGATATGGATTAATGGTTTAATCCATTTTTGTCAGCACTCCATAATTTTTTTTGTGTGCATTGATGATTCATTCAGATATAAGTGGATTAGATATATGATTTCCAGATAATCTGCAACCCTAACTCTTACCTGGCCTGGATGTTAGAAAATAATGAGTTTATGTTACATTAAATGCACAGAAAGAGATCTAATTTTGGAAAATTCCAGGCTGTTCCATCATTTCCAAGTTCGTTTCCACATCTCTTCTCAGGGAATGATCGCCTTCGCTGTCTGATTCCATGTGCAATTGATCAGGTTCGTTCTTGCTATCCTTTCAATGTTGCAGCTCACTTGCTCAGCATTACTATGCATCATGAAACAGATTCAAGGATAATTTGAGACTGCATAGCTTGATGAATTTGCAGACATAGAGAAATAAACTTGTATCATTTGCATTTCCATGGGTTGTCATTTTTTGGAAATATCCTCATGATCTATCCAGTGCGAATGAAAGCACTAAATATAACCCCTGTTCCGCTCCCCCTTATCTGCTACAGTGCTACCAATATATGTGCCCTTTAGTTATGGACTCCATGATGTCATTTGGTGACACTTCTTTTATGCTTGCAGTTTTTTTCTCTACTTTTTTAAGACAAACAAGGAAATATGTTTCAGTTTTTTTCTTTCAGTGCTTGAAACCAAAAGCAAAGTTTAGAACTTATTAAATCATGAAGTTCATCATTTTACTGTTTCCAAAACCATGTTTTTATTTTGAGTTTTTTCATAAAATGTTCTTATAAACCGTGAATGAAAAAGATTCTACCCATAATGTTTCATCGTGTACTATATTAAGAAACTTAAAACTATTTTCTTAAAAAGTACACAACAAAAGTGTTACCAAGTGATCCCTAAAGCTCACTGATTTAGTATTCAATTCCTTTAAATGGAGGTCATGATGGAATAGCTTGGCAGATTCTATGCTAGCCTGGCAACCTATGATGGCAACTTATTTTAGAATCCTGTCTTCCCATCCACCATTAATAATACTTCTAGTTGTTTAAACCTCAAAATGTAATTCCCCATCACTGCAGACAACAATTTTCTAGAAGGATGGCAAAGTGAATGGTGATTCCTGTATGATGGCCTTCCAGAAATTATGGGCACAATTTTGTACTTGTGAATGATATGCTACCTCCGCCCAACTGGACGTTGTCAACTCTCCCCTTTTAGTCATCCCTTCGTCCCAAAAACTTTGACACTTCCCTTTGTAACTAATTTGTGGTTCTTAATTTCTTATTATTTTTCTCTCCTTTGCACAAACTTCAAACAAACAATTTTTACTTTCTTATTCCATGTCCCGGGCAAACATGGCAAATTTCAACGGGATGGAGGGAGTATTTTTTTTCCATAGTCAAAAGAAGTGTTATGCAATTATTGTTTCTTTAAAGTTTAAAATTATCTCTGAAGTCTGAATTGATGTAAAATTGTTCTGTTAATTAAAAGCACGCATGTTGTGGTTTCAATCTGTTTCTCCTATGTCCCTGCCCTAAGTGCTTATGGGTGTATTGCCTTGGGATTTGGGGAGGCTGTTGTTGAGACCATGGGCTATGTTTCGCAAAGAGATACAATTTTGGACTTGTGCACACATTGGGTCTCAAAGTTTTTGTACTCCATAGTCCGTACTTACAAAACAAGGCTACACTGGTGGGCTGTTGTATTTCGTGAGGAAAAAAATATTTTAGGCTTCGGTACTTTTCTAGTTTTCAACTAATATTTTTATAAAAACATTATTATGTTGTGTGATGTTAACGCTTAACAAACTGTTGAAGCATTAGTAAAAATAGTCTAATGACATGAACTGAACTACATGAGACCAGCTGACACTGATAAGGGTGCAAAAGATGCAAACCAGATGCTCATTCTTGATCATATAATGTATATTTTCACATGGTATGATTTGCAGGATGATTTAGAACCACCAACAAAGTAGGTGGCATGATACTCAAACAAGAGCATATGTGTGTGTGTATATAACATGGTCAGAATGGTGGCTTAAAAAAATAAACAAGAATCTTAGAAAATTGCTTTAACGAAATCACTTTAAGAAAGTGGGCAATGCATGGTGGTCTGCTGCGGTTGTATGAGGGAATCAATGTTGGCTAAGGATTATAAGTTGATGTGTAAGGGAGATAACAGAAGTCACTTCAGATGTAAACATGACGGGGTTGCATATGGAATGCAAGTAAAATGAAATTTGGTCTCATGTGGTGACTGGGTAGGTTCGCTAAAGTTTTTCTGCTCCAGGAATACTTGCTTGTGGCCATGCATGTCCTAAGTTCTATCTCTCTCCCAATTAAACGTACCCTAAAATATACTCCGTATATATTGAACATGACATTGATCAACTTTGGTGGTGCTGCAAAATGGCCAAATTTCTCGTACAATACTGAATGTGCTTTATAATAAAGAATATGAAGGGAGTTATATCTCTTTCATTCTTATAGTTTTATTAGTTTTTCAAAGAATGTGCTGTATTTCTGTTTTTATTTAGTTCTGACTTATGATATGCTCTCTGTATTGTGCTTAGTCTCATATCCTTTTGTAAAGCTAATTATGATATAGCAATTTTTAGGATCCTTATTTCCGAATGACACGTGATGTGGCTCCTCGGATAGGCTATCATAAGCCTGCTTTAATTGAGTCATCATTCTTTCCTGCTCTACAGGTACTGCCTTTTCTAGATTGTGGCTTATTTTCATAATTATACTGCAAAATCTACTTTTCGATGGGTCGGAAGTAGGAGGAATAAAATGAGAGAGAAATGGAAGCTAAGTGTAGATTATATTTTGCTGGTAGGGAATGAGTGGAAAGGTACAGAGCATAGTGACACAGGCATTGCATTTTTTGAGTGTAATGATGTGCTATGTTAAATGTATTTTGTGCTGAGAGTAACCCCCCCTAATTTTTTTTTCCTCTTGACTTGGAGGGAAAGTAGTCAGTATGGTAAACTCACTGTGATTATGGGTTATCAATCTTATTATTTTGTGTTTCAAAAAATTAGTTTTGTACAGCTATGCTAAACTCAATGCTACTATTTATTAGAATATTTATTGATCCTGGAATTTAATTTTGTAGGGAGAGACTGGAAAAATGTCTGCTAGTGACCCAACTTCTGCAATATATGTAACAGATTCGGCAAAAGACATAAAAAATAAGGTTTGTTACACTGTACATCCAGTCTCGTTAACAATAAAGTATTCCCAACATTAATATGTAAAAGAAGTTAAGAACTAATTCCACTTATGTCCTGTTATGGTAATGGTACATTGTAAGTTTCTTGGGTGAGCAAATAACCGACCTAACCAAAAACCAATGAGGCAATGACCAAACCGATAAATAAATTCAGTTTTTGGTCTGTTATCTGATATCACAAAAAGAATTGTATTGGTTATTCTGGGAAGAAAATCAAAATTCCGGGACAAAGGTGTATTGTTTTGAAGTTTCTACTGTGCTTTGTTGATGCTGTGATGCTTGTGCGGTAGTACACATGTTTAGATTCCATTTTGGAATTTATTCTCTTATTTACACGTATATTTTTCCGGAAACAGTCTCTGTTTAGTACAGAGGTAAGGCTGTACATCCGACCCCCCTTATCCCACCGTAGGTGGGACCTTTGTGGCACTGGGGTAATGATGATGATGATTTACGCATATATTTTTATGAAGCACATAGCGACTCGGATTCTGAGAACATATGCAAAATGCTTCTAGAATCTATGTGTAATTAAGTATTTTTGGTTATGATCGGCTACGCGGATGCCGACCGAAATGCTGTTTTTTAGTCGGTATATAAATATGATGATTTTGGTCAGTCATTACAGTTCTAGTTTTTGGTTGATTGTTAGGCTAGCCGACCAAACTAATACTCACCCCAAGCACTTTCTCTATTTCCCTTTTCAACTTTCCTTATTTCCGGTTGATATTTATTTATTGATTTATTGGGTGATGTGCAAATATGTCGGTCGATCTGTGAATGATGTTCTCTACTTGCTTATCCAAAATAGTCTTTAGCTCATTACCCAGACTAGAAGCACAAAATGTATTCATGACCAATGTGCCCAACTACCTACATTCAGAAGGCTAAAGGGTCAAATAAGCCATTGTACCTGTCCTATGTCCAATTTGACCTCTGAACTAAAATAATTGTCCAATTCACTCCCTAAACTCTAAAAAAATTCAATATTTTTATTACCCACCACGTCACCCGGTAAGGTGTCAGCCGTGTTCATTTGACATAGAAGCTAAGGTGCCGACAAGTCCCTAGACCTGTTGGGGTTACTCATTTCACCCCATACACGCTAGATGAACGGTTGGCACCTTACTGGGTGACTTATTTGAATCTTTTTAACGAGTTAATTGGACCTATCTAAGTTTTGGGCCGAATTGTGCAACCGATACGAATAGAATGACCTATTTTACCCTTTAGCCTATTCAAGATGATGTTCTCCATTTGCAGACTCACCGGTGACACAATACTGATTATTGGCTATAATATTATGTCACTTCTTGTTTGCATGAAAACACAATAGAAGACTACAGTAATGAAAAGTATAACATTAAGGTCAGGATATGAAGTATGAAGGCATATCCCATCTATGCTAGAGGTTACCTTATTAACAAGGAAACAAGTGGAAGTGCATGGGAACTAAAATAATGTTTGCAATTTCTCTTGAAAATAGTTACATCTTTGAAGTTTACATAATAATGTACTCTATGAGCAGACAACGAAGTGGGGATGATATTGATGTGCTTCAAATTCAAGATTCTCCCTTTGGTGTATGTCCTCCCGTGACAGCCATGCTAATAAATTTATGAATAAATATGATAGTAGATTTTAAAAATTGGAATTATTTTCCTTGTGATTGTCATATTTACATGAATGATACAGAGAACAACCATTTTAGCTTCTTTTGTGATTGTAACATTCACAGGTAAACAGGTATGCATTTTCAGGTGGGCAGGATTCTATAGAGTTGCACAGGAAGTATGGGGCAAACCTTGAGGTAGCTGTTTTATTAGTTTAATAGGTCTTAGTGAAAAATGAGATGTCACAATGTGTGTTTTATATTCTATCACTATCACATCATCATACAAATTTTGATTTGTTTTGCTGGGCATCTATGATTTTTGGGTAAACATTTTAAACACGTGCTGTATGTTTGCTTGTTCTTGGAATGACTTTTGGAGATTTTTCATTTTACCTAGTTGTTATATTTATCTATTTCACCCAAACATTACTTGAATGCTTTTTTGGGTTCTTGCCATGGCGTATTATTTATATTTATATTTTTTGCTATGTTTTTCCTTTAACCCCATGTGTCCCTGTTGGTCCCACTTTTCATGAAATGGTTATTTAGGTCGATATCTCAATCAAATACCTGGGATTTTTCCTGGAGGATGATGCCGAACTGGATAAAATTAGGAAGGTGTGTTACATTTATGTTTGGTTAAAATTGCAATGGATTGCCAAATTGAAACTAGAAGGAACTGTTATATTAGCTGACCATCTTCACTTTCATAATGATCTCAGATTATCTGGTTGGTTTAATAACTTCAATTTTGTTTTCCCTGTACTGCTATATATTTTTGAATTTTAGGAATATGGTGCTGGCCGTATGCTGACGGGTGAAGTGAAGAAGATACTTATTGAAATTCTAACCGGTATCGTTGAAAGACATAGGGAGGCTAGAGCCGCAATTACTGACGAGGTAACTAAACGGTTTCTTTTCACTAGTATATATTTGCAAATTTATTTCTTGGTTTAACTACATTTGTCATTGTTTTGGCAAATCTCATGAAAATTAACTTCCTTTTATCAAACTAGTCTTTTTCTTGGGATGAGAAGTTCAAAGATGGCTCTCTTTTTTGGGGTGGTGGGTAGGGGTAAGACTTTTGAGCCAAACAAGCGGGTAAGCGCTTGGTGGCTGCTGATTACGGACTACGGAATATTATGTAAACTTGTCTGAGATTATGATAACTGTATTGTAATTCTTGTACTTGCTTTTTGCACAGATGGTAGACGCATTCATGGCAGTACGTCCGCTTCCTAATATGTTTTGCTGAACATGGTTTACAATATACGGAGTAAGTTAGAAGCTTTACATTCATTTTATTATTGGAATTCACGCCCTTATGGCAGAGATGAGTATTTATGATGTTCATTTCTATACAAACAGTCTGACTCGAGACTTGTAATTTTTGGGTAGGTCTCTTATGAGGCTTTATGTGTCAGTTAGATGTGAGATGATAGTGAACCAGATATTTTTGGTTTTATATATATATATATATATATATATATATATATATATGAAGCTAATTATTATTATAATTGTTTACTACTATAAGTAATAACAAGAATTGGGATTTAAAAGTTGGGACACAGTACTCAATACTCATTCATTCATTATAGATCTTAAAAAGTTATTATTGTCAATGAGGGTTAGGACTTACGGTCTTTTAGGTATTAAAAATGTGTTGGTGTAATCTGTAGCTTTCTCCCTCCCGTCTCCTTGGTTTCCGTTAATTAAAATTCAAATGTTACTCCTATAAACTTCCGTCAATTATCAATGTACCAACTTCCGTTAATTATTAACGAGGAGAAGTTCTGGGCCGAGTAGGGGAGGAATAAATATCCGGCCAGCGCTGTCCATTAGTTAACATTTGACTATGAACAATAATTAATCTGGTTGGGTTACTATTCAATTTGTTGAGCATTCCGGTGAAAAATAATAAAAATGCATTTCGATGGGAAAGAGACTGAATTTTACATTTTTTTACATATATAAAACTGTAAAAGAGCTGATTTAGAGCATTCGAGTCTCTTATTTTTCAGTTTCCATTGTTATTGTTACAAGCGAGTTTTCTTTTACTCCGAATGACTTTACTTTCCTCCTATTTTGCTCACCCTCTAATTTATACGTAGTAATACAAATTTATAATATAAAACAAATTTAGGCATACAAGTTTATAATATTAGTGCTGATTCTATACAAATTGAAACTGTGTTTCTCAAATACAAATTATAAAACAAATTCACTATAAGTGATATGCTTGTGTTATTGATAATTCATTCTTGATGCTTGAAGGAATACAAATACATATAACGAGTTAAAGTTTCAAAATATTAATTATTACTTATTAAATTTTTACCAATTAGGCATTTAGTGTTATATGTTTGTAAAAATGTTCGCACTCTTTTCATACTTTTGATTGTTTCATAGCCTTTTCAAAATCTTAGGTCGTTTTTACAAGAAATTTACAATTGCTACATATTTTGACCTATTTTCTAGAAAAGTTTAATGCAATGATTTTCTTCTCTCTAATACTCCTTTTGTCCCATTTTAGTGAGCCAATCTTGACATTTCAAGTCAACGTCGGCCGCCTAATTTTGATCAATTATATATTTATATAGAGAAGTATTGATAATATGAAAATGATATGGAAATATTCTTTGTTAACAAAAGTATCATAAAAGTATAAAATTATTAAATTTTGCATAAATATATCAGTTAAAATAATTAGTCAAAGATGACTAATTAAAATGAGACGGAGGAGTATGATTTTCTCATATTTAACTCTGAGTTGGTGATATTTGAGGAAATGAGGTTATTAGCAAACCTTCATACTTCATTATTTTATATGGAGTATTACTTATTGTACTTCTTAACAATTAAGAGCCCGTTTGGTAGCACCAAAATCGGCTGTTTTGGCTGATTCTGCTGAAATTTATTATATTCTGGCTGGAGTGGCTGTTTTGGCCGATTCTGCTGATTTAAGAAAAAAATATTTTAAAAATATATTTTATTAATAAATTAAAGAAAAAATTATATGTAAAAATAGCTAAAATGGTCCTCTACAGTAACTTCAGCCAATACAGCCAGAAAAGTAACTCCAACCTTACTTTTTCGGCTTATTACACAATTCAGCGCGCGAAAGTAAAAGTTACGTGTTTGGTGAAAAAGCTGGCTGATAAGCCTGATAAGCCGAAAACAGAGTTCTCCAAACGGGCTCTAAAGCTCTTTTGGTGGTCTTATTTTTCATCTTATCAGCTAACATTTTACCACGTGTGTGCAACTTTTGACTTCATGCACTCAAGTGTGTAATAATCAAAATAAGTAAGGTAGAAGCTATTTGTCCTGGCTAAATTGGCTGAAATTACTGTAACAGTTAGCTAATTTTCACATAATTTTGAAATTATTTCATTAATAAAATATATTTTGAATATTTTTTCACCAGATTCAGCACGCTAATTTAGCTATTTCAGTCAGAACTTCATCATTTTGCAAAATCAATCGATTCAATAAATTTTAGTGTTATTAAAGAGACTCTTACAAGGATGATTTTTATTTTTAAGAACAAGGATGCTCTTATACATCATGAATAAATTATGATTGTTTTAACGGTGACCTATCAGTTAACATTTTAAACACAAAGTCGATTTTTATAAGTAAAACTAATTAAATGTTATTGATTCTGAAATTTGTTGAGAATAATACAATAATACGAAAATTAAGTGAAATAGTGAGATGAAATATGACTAGAATTTAGATTGATGGATTATGTCATGGTGAATTAGAGAGATCCAGTAATAAATTAGATTAATAATTTTGAGATTATAAAATTTAGATGCTCACCCCATTATAAATAATCACTTCAAATGTACTCTTAAGTTATGGACAAAATGAGCTAATATCTAATTAAAGTGTCTAGAACAATCCGGTATGATACATATTATAGGGGAGTTTGTATCAGGAGCTCTTGAGCGAAAGCAATTGTGGAGGCCTCCATTTCAGGTGTTTTCGGATGGATTTATTTTATGAATTTTTGGGAGCATGTTCTCCATAAAGTGTAGATTATATTCAACAAATTTCAATTTAAAATTTAATCAAGATGTCAGTTAAATAAACTATTGAAAAGAATTGGGTTTTTTATACTCCGTAATTTTGGAATTTTGGAATGCGTTTGCAAATGATGACCTACTTTTTTTTATGATTGAAAACAATTAGTATATATAAGACACTTGAAATTAGTAGTTCCTCTAATCAATCTAGGGTGTTTACTCAGGCAAAACACACTTTAACTAGATTACCCATAATTATGTGATTGGTGTAGATGTGAGCAGGGGCGGATGCAGAACACTGGGGTCGGTAAAAGTTTGTTTGTTTGTTTGTTTGTTTTTTGAAAAAAAAAAATTACACGAGATTTTTGTTACACTAAGAATATAAGCATTTTGTTAAAATGGGGTGGCCGGGGGTCTAAGTTGCTCCCCCCCCCCCCCCCCCCCCCCCCCGCTACGCCAATTAATGTGAGCCCGAAGAGAATATCATCATCATGGAATGTGAATGTGAATTGCAATTTTATGAAGTCATTGCAATTTATGTTATACTTGATGTTCTGATCTAAGACCATGTGTTGAGGTACAACACCCTACATCCGAATGATTAAAATTTGCTTGAACATTGAAAAGTTTTGTATTCTTGAAGATCTCGTGAACACATGAGTGATCAGAAAAACTCCAATAACATAATTTTCTTACAAGCCTTTTTTCATTTTTCTTATTGGTCCAAGTGTTTTTTTTAACTATTTAACTTCACATTCCAACTACATAAAGTTACAATATCAAATAATAGTTTAATGTTCTTTAAGAAAATGCTCTACTAACATATATTGGGCATTTAGCACATCGCGCAACGCGCGTCTCAACAACTAGTTTATAGTATACAGAGGATTTTGCTCGAGGAGATGGACGCTGCTCTGTGCGTCAAAGTTTTGATCTGTCCCCCGGGTTCATGCGCAGAAGGAGAAATGAAGAAGTGAGGTTTTTTTTAGAAGAAGCAGAAGGTAGGTAACTTTTTTTGTCAAAAAATAATCTAGTCATATTTTTGTCTAATACAAGCTGGGAAGTAATATTTGTGTCATTCTTTCTAATAGGTAAGTAAAAAAGGGTGAATAACTAATTACGTTGTCCAATAGCATCATTGTGACTAGGGTAGGGGTGGACTCGGGCCGGGCGGCCCGGCCCAGAAGCGGCCCGACACTGTTTGGGCCCGCCCCGGCCCAGTACCCGGTCTTGGAGTCGGTTCGGGCCAACCAGAACCGGTCAGTTCCCAGCGCGGGGCTCGGGCCCCTAAAACGCGAACCGGCCCGGTTGGTCCGGGACCGGGCCCGGTTCGGGCCTTTTTTTTTTTGTTTTTTCAATTTTTTTATTCTACCGGGTTGGGTTGGGTGTTTGGGGGGGGGGGTCGGGAGTTGATTACAAAAGCAAAAGAAAAAAATAAGCCTGAACTGGAACCAGCCCGGTTTGGGCCCGGCCCGAAACCGCCGGCTAACCGGGCCGGTTCCGGTTCCACCTTTCCCAAATAAAATCCCGGCCGGGATCAGGCCCGAACCGGAACCGGCCCGGCCCAGGTCCACCCCTAGAGTTGTGACACTCCTTGAAAGGATGTCATAGGTTTGAATCTCATACCAATTCAAGGTTGGCCTTAATACAAAACTACAAAAGTGATACACCGTATTATAATAGTTTATGAAGCTTACCAAAAAAACTAATGATGTAAGATAAACATAATGGTAAAACTAGATGTTGGGTTATTGGCCCAACCAGGGTCGGCCCATTACTCCCTAAATTGACAAACGTCTAGACCCAACAAGGCCCGCCAAGGGCCATTGTCCTCCACAACCCAAGGCATTGACGACGTGCATCCTTAGAGCTCTAGCCACAGTGCTAACCAGTATACTCCTGCATCAACTACTAGAAGTCGTACGGCTCTCCACCCTTGGTCGCATCATCAAGGAAATGGCCAAGACTCGCGGGGAGGCTCGTTCCCCGTCACTAGGCGGGAAACCAAGATTCTGGCGGGAAGCGCATTTAATGCCAGAGATTTGGTGGTTAGGACCCTAGCCATCCACAATTTTCGCTTTAGATTTGGTGGTTGGGACCCTAGCCATCCACGGTTCTCGCCTTAGCATTTAACGTCAGCATATCCACCTGCCTCTTGGAAGTATAAAGAGTAGCATTTGTTTCATTGTAAAGGGTTGACAACTTACTCGCCTTAGCACTCTAGCATCCTTATAGCTCATAGTAGTATTCTCAGCTCTTCCTTAGCGAGAAGACAAACGGCTGTTGGCTAAGTAGCACTTGTGCGTTGTAACCGATCCTTATTGTCACTTAATAAGATACGACCCACTTGCTACACACATATTAAGCCCATCTTACTTGTTTGTGCTCATATTCTCACGCACTCTTCCACTCAAAATCCATAGGTTACGTATTGGGCCTACGGGTTGAAGGAATAAACCTCAACACTGGCGCTGTCTGTGGGAACCTGAACTAAAAGTTTCCAGAAAAACCAAGCTCACCAAAATAGCTACCTAAAAACCCTTCTTAGCAATAAAGATGGTAGGAAACAACAACCAACAACATTGTGACCTCTCTGACCA